GACACAAGTGGGTTCCTTTACGGTCTTTAAATTACATATATTGTGTATAATTTATTTAATTAAATTGCTTGATATTTTTGTATATATTTTTTTCTAAGTAGTACCTCAGAGCAACAAGCAAGAAATGACCACACTTTTTTTGTAATTTTTCAGACTCTTAGAGAACGCCTGCGAGGGATAATGGACTCGGCACAGAACTCTCTCCGGGATGATGTGAATGCCCAGATTGCCAAGTTAGATGAGCTGGAGAGGACGCTCTTCCACGCTGGCCAGAAAGCTCTCCAGGATCACCAGCTGTGGCTGTCCCGCAGAGCTCACATCCTCACCACTTCAACTATGGTTGATCAGCACAATAAGAGGAAATTCTCTGCCATTGATTCATGAAAAAAATTGAAATTAAATTTAAGATTATGTACAGATTTTCACACTTTTCTAGAATTACAATCATTTTGTGAAGAATCATTATATTGAATATATTTATATTTGTAAAGACAATGAATTTGATACATAACTTATGGTCCTTGAAATTTTAAGGGTTGGATTTGTATGGAATAATAAAGCTAAACACACACAGCAATTAAATAAAATCTCCTTCGCGCTTACCATTAAAATTACCTGTTATTCAGTCACATCACGTTCTCCTCTATATGCTGAAGCTTAGAACATTCATATTAAGAATGTGCAATATATAGCATTAAATCAGTATAAGTAAAGCTTGCGAAGACTGAAAAAGATATGTAGTTTTAAGGCTCAGCAAAACTCTGTATTGCTTATATTTTGTAGCCTGTCATACAATTTTCAGATCTGAGGTGGTGCTCACTGCATCCTTAAAACAGAAGTGGCATATTAGGCCTGTATGAAGAATAGGGGTACACAGTGCATATATTGGGTTTTGAATTTGGAAACATTTTAAATGCTGAGAAAGAATATTAATAAATTTCAGCAAAATAGGGTTCATTTTGTTTTTATTTTGGACATTTATCTTTTACACAACACACAAACAGAAGGGTATAAATACTACCAACAGGCCAAGAAAATTGCTTTCATTGGTTGTTAATGGCTGTGATAAATTTTTCTAAAAGCATTTACATGAAGGCTACAGATTTTAAATTAAACTTTTGTCCAGAGAACTTGACTGTCTCTTGATATATCTTTGGTATTATTAACAATTTAGAATTATATGTAATAGCTAGGTGCCATTGCTCTGCAAGACTTACCCGCTATTAAACTAAATTAACAGCTGATGTGTTTATTATCCCATAAATAGTTATAAAATTGTTCTAGAAAAAGTGGCAAAATATTGCAAGTGGAAGGTGAGATTTTTAAAGTAATACCCTTTTGGTGTCATGGTGAGCCTGAGTTTCCCATTTGATAATTAATTCAGTCAGGGACACCCCCCCAATCCCTTGCCCGTTGTTGTCGTGGGGGGGCTTAGGAGGCGGAGACTGGGACCCAATGATGGGGAACTCCCCAACCTTGGGACTCAGCCCTCGACTCAACTAATTGTGCATGGCCTTTTTTTCCCTTCCCACTTTTGTTTCTGTCCCTTCACCAAACCCTTCTGCTATCCACCTCCTAAGGTGTGAGAGCCGTGCTGAAAGGATGAAAGGCTGACTTTGTGCCAGTCCTGAACGGCCTGAGGGAGCCATGGGCACGGTATTCCCCTGATTTAGTATCTAGCCCTTACCCCTCAAGGGGACCCTGAGGGGTGGACTGTTTTTATCCCCAACATAACCAGGCTTACCATGGCCAGTAATGAAAATATATCCCCACTGTTAGGGGCAATGAGGCTTGCCCCTTTATCAAATAGCCCCAAAGAAGTAAACCCACCCGATTCCCTGACCCCAGGCTCTCCTTTGACCACGGCTCCAAACACTGCAATAACTGCCCCTTCACCAATGCCTACTAGTACAGTAGCCAACAATCAACCCTCAAGGAACATTTTCACTCTCCCAGCATGCCCAACTTCAACACCTCTACCCCCACAACCTCCAACATCAACCATCCCATCCTCCCTTATTAATACCTTACAGCCTTATAGCCCACATCTCCATAACACTACCTCCATCAACACTACTCCATCTTCGTCACGCCCTCGCCCTTCTACCACCCCTATCTCTAAAACAATCTTGAATACTCTCTTCAGTGCAGCCAAATGGGACCGATTTTTCGTGATCCCTCCCACAGCTCCCTACTCTGACAACACCCTTCTCTTCCAACAATGCCTCCAAAAACAAGTAGGTAAAGTCTCTTTCCGTAGCCGACCCGACCGCTCCCGTCTTGTAACAGTAACATCCGAAAACCAAGCCATTGCATTAACAAAACTAACTGACCTATATGGTAACCCCATCCTAGCAGAACCCCATCCAACCCTCAATACTTGCACCGGAACAGTCTCAATCTCACCAGCAAATTGCCCAATCTATGACAAAGATTGGTCAGATTGTGGAGAAGATCTACTTGCCTGTCTCACAGACTACATGCAACATCAGTACAATGC